CAAATTCTAAAGCACTAACTCAAATATTTAAGTCCCCTAATTCTAAAGCACTAACTCAAATATTTAAGTCCCCTAATTCTAAAGCACTGACTAAAATATTTTGGTCTCCTAATTCTAAAGCACTAACTCAAATATTTAGGTCCAATAATTCTAAAGCACTAATCAAGAAATTAGTTCCCCTATAAGTGCTCTAGGGGAACTGTGTCCACCACTGGCTATTCTGAATGTTTTTTCTTGTTCCTTTGCTACAACACAGCTGAAATAATGGTTGAATTACCCCTTTAAGCCTGTTAATCACCTTCTGATTTACATCAGGTTAAGCAGATCATGCATGACCTCTGTTCAAGTGTTTTTTTTATTTATTTTGTTGGAATTTCTTTTCATATTGTGACTTATCTCTTATTACATGTCACATGATTTCATAAGACTATAAGATAGAATAAGGAACGTTATAGCGCCTTACATACCCATGATCTAAAATATTCCTATCTCAGACGCACGTACGGTTCCAAAAAGATACTTTCCATTTTTATCACACCGAAGTTTCCTAAAATGTCCTCTTAAACATTGGCAGACGGTGAGAAATATCTTGTGCCTGCGCTTTAAAAAAAAATCTATTATTATCCGTCGGCGAGGTAAGCTGGTCCTTTCAGTGGGAGAGGGAATCCCTCAACGTCACCAAGGATACCAAACACAACACCGAGACAAATATGGGCATGTACGTCATCGGAACTTCGGGGGAGGGGCTTGAACGGTAGAAATGCCTCGGTTGTACTCGAGGCGGATGGATTCATTCATAACACAAGATCTACTACTGGGCACCGTAACACCGGCGTCCCGTTACCGGACTTTATGGATCTGTAATCGCACGTTTTTTGTGTGTGTGTCACGAGCGGGATTTAGAAGCGGGGAAAAGCGCGAGGCTTTTTACAGCCAAATAACGACAAGAAGAGGAGTTCTCGAAGAGGAGCACTTTCTCCCTCTTCGAGCTGGATTAAGTTTATTCATGCAACTTTTTTGGAGAGAAACCAAATCCTTCTCACCGGGAAAAAACAAAAATATTGACGGTAAGAAAAAAATACTTTTAAATAGAGGCTTAAATAGCTGCTTGTCTTGATGTAAACACTGATTTTGATCGGATGTTTCCACTTTCATATCAAATATTTTCTGGTCTACTGGGCTTTCACTAACTATTATGGACAAGACATGACATCAGCCATGTTCTCCCCCCCCACAGTCCCTCTGTAACCCTCTTGTGTGTGCATGCTGCCCGGCCCGCTGCAGGTGACATCGGACGCCCTCTGGTTCCTGCAGGTGCCTCGTTCCCTCTCGGTCCCCCCGGGGAGATGTTCCAAGGGTTCCCCGGCGACCCCGACAGCGGATCCCGTGGAAGCTCGTCTCCGTCCATAGAGTCTCAGTACCTGTCCTCCGTGGACTCCTTCGGGAGCCCGCCCACCACCAGTGCTCCGCAGGTAAAATTAAAACGCCTGGTTGTATTGGTCTGCCTTAAAATGACATAGAGAATAAATCATTTTGCTGCTTGTTTGTTGAGTGAGCAATATGTTGCTRTATGTTTTAATTGAACCCATATAAATATGTCATATATAGTCTGTACAACCAAAAGAAAACAGTTCAATAGGCTGCCTGCAAATAAAGAATAAACCATGCAAAAATGAAACAGGCTATAAATTAATTCTGCCAAATCTGTGTGAATGGAAGGGAAATATCAGACAAAACAGGCAGTAAACATAGAAATTGTGCCACTTTTTAAAATATTTTATCCTCATTGAGGTCTGACATCTCGTATAAGAAGCACATGTGTATCGTGGCGGTGTTGTTGAAATGTAAAATCATCGCTGATTTGTTGCCTGTTGCATCTGTGCTCCTGTCACGGTCGAGCGGCTGGAACTCCCTACGTAAGCGCGGAAGCCACGCCCCATCCGCTCCTTCCTAGGTCTCTGTCTGAAGCCCCACCCTCCTCTCGTTCTCCGCAAACCACTTTCTCTCCTTCCGAAACCACGCCTTCCATTTCCTCGCTTTCTTCCTTTTCCGAAGCCCCGCCTCTTCCGCGCTGTCCGCTAGGCTTCRCCGTGACGTAAATGCGCGTTCTATTTTGGAGCGCTACGTCGCGTTGCCAAGGGGAACACCGGGGTTTTGAGGGAAGAGGAAATAGGCAGGAGGGAGGGAGGGAGGAGGTGGGGAGAGATGATTGGTCGAGCGGGTTGTTCTCCTCCAATGTCTTCACGCGCGCTTAAATGAGTATTAAACAAAAGTCGGCACGCTCCTTTAAGGGTCTGAAATACCC